AGGAGAGGACAGGTAGATTTGCGTGTCATCTGCATAGAAATTATATTGGAAGACAAAGGAGCTAATGAGTTTACCAAGGGAGGCAGTATAGATGGAGAACAGTAGGGGACCAAGGACTGAACCTTGGGGGACACCAACAGAGAGGAGTTGGGGAGAAGAAGCAGAGCCAGAGAAAGAAACACTGAAAGAGCGTTGGGAGAGGTAGGAGGAGCACCAGGAGAGGGCAACATCTTGTAGACCGATATTGCGTAGGATGAGAAGCTGTTGATGATCAACAGTGTCAAAAACCGCAGACAGGTCAAGGATAATTAGGATAGAGTAGTGACCACGAGATTTTACAGCGAGTAGATCATTGGATACTTTGGTCAGTGCCATTTGAACAGAGTGCTTAGCGCAGAAACCAGACTGAAGCGGGTCTAGCAGAGAGTTGGACTCGAGGAAGTCTGTCAATCTCACATACACAATTCTTTCAAGGATCTTGGATGCAAAAGGCAGTAGCGAGATAGGACGATAGTTGGATGGGGAGTTAGGGTCAAGATTGGGCTTCTTTAGAATTGGGGTTACAGTTGCATGTTTGAAGGGCAATGGAAATATACCAGAGGAGAGAGAGAGATTGAGAATTTTAGTGATAGGTGGAGGGAGAGAAGAAAGAGTATGGATGGATCAGTTTGCTCAGACCTTGTTAGCCAGAACCGCCCACCTCTTTCCTTTCAATCCTGCAGATATGCCTCCCCAGACTGTACCTGGGGTGATAGAGGCATCTGATCAGAACACTATGACCACAAGCCTGATACCACTACCTAGATATGATGGTGATCCTAAAACCTGTTGACGGTTTATCAACCAAATTGAAACATCCTCTAGGTCATTTCCTATGGAAAGGTCCAAAGTTGGATATTTTTTATGCACCAACTATCAGACAAAAACTTTGAAATGGGCTAATCCGTTATGGGAGGCAAACAAGGCTTTGGTTTACGACTACCAGACCTTTGTGAAGGCCTTCTGTAAGTTGTTTGATCCACCTGGCAGAGAAAAGAGTGCAGCTAAGTCCCTAATGAGAATAAAACAGGGAAATAGAATCATAGCAGACTATGCTCTCAGTTTTCACACTCTTGCCTCTGAGGTGGATTGGACAAATAGTGGATCGGTATCTGCATTGGAAGGGGTTAGCAACAATATATTGGATGAGGTTTGTACGCTGATGACACCCAGATATATCTCTCCTCCCCGGACCACTCCTCTGCCATCCTGCAACGCGTCACTGCTTGACTTTCTTCCCTCTCTTACTGGATGTCCTCCCGCTTTCTGAAACTCAATTGCCAAATCCTGTAGATTCCATCCTAAAAACATAGCCCGCATCTGCTCTTTCTTACGCAAGATGCTACCAAGGAGCTTGTCCATGCTCTAGTAATTCCCCGCATGGATTATTGTAACCCTCTCCTAATTGGTCTTCACAAAAGCCATATTGCCTGCTACAGTCTGTAATGAATGCTGCTGTCAGACTGATTTTCCTCTCTATTCGAGTCTCTTACACCTCATCTCTCAGTCAGTCGTTACATTGGCTTCCTGTATCCTATTGGAGTCAATTCAAAGTGCTAACCCATATCTATAAAGCACTGAACAATTCTATCTCCTCTTATAGCTCTTCACAAATCCATACGTATGCCCCTTCTCTGTCTCTCTGCTCTGCCCGTGACCATCTCCTGTCCGCTGCTTGCACCCGTCAACTCACACTTGCAGGACTTCTCGCGGACGACTCCCTTCCTATGGAATATCCTGCCTACCGCCATCAGACTCTCCCCTAGTCTTCAATCGTTTAAGAAGTGCCTTAAAACCCATCTCTTTAGGAAAGCTTATGGCCTCCCAGAGTAACCTCTACCTCACATACCTGCCTCTTGCTCTCTCCTTAAGGGCAGCACATTACACACTCCTCCAGCTCTGCTTCACTCCCACCTTATTAAGTGTTCTTGCATAGACCACTTACTATTATCTCACATATATATTATTCTTATTAGTAAGCCAAATTTACCACCCTAACTCCTCCCACAGTTTTTATACTACATAGACTGTAATATACAGAAACGTGAAGATTGTTCCCAATTGGTGTGCTATTACTTTGTGGAACGTTTTGCTGAATGGTTCGCGGAATATCAAGGTTTTTGTAGTGAAATTGGTCCCATAGGAATGAATGGTGAAATGTTCAAAACTAGAGGGTGAGCTGGCAAAAGCTAGAGTGTGAGCTGAAAAATCAGGACATGATTTCTAAACTGCCACCACTCCCTCATTTGCAAGCCCACCTACAAAAATCTTATATCAAAATGTTTAGCTATCCCTGCTGCCACTAAACATGTTCATGGCTAAGCCATAGTCCTGATAGTTTTCACAATATGACCATTTGTTTGCAACTCACGCTGTCCATTGACATTCATTGAAACTCCACTCTAGCCACTATCTATCTAAACTGTGACTGTGGCTTCATTTTTAATATCTCACAGACATACTATGCATCAAAATTTAGGCCTGGGTCTTGGGATTCTAACAATATAAAGCTCTTCGCTGTAGGATTTATAGTTTTTTTTTTTTTTTTTAAATACAACCATTTGAGGATGGCAACTGCCAGTGAAGTTAGCAATTTGGAGCAGTTTGTTTTTAACTGCTCTTCTCTGCCCTATTTGAAATCTATTAGTTCCTGTTGGCAGTTAGTGGAATGTTCAGTGGATTTGAAAGCTCTTCTCTGCCCTTGCTTTAGAGTGAGTGAACCACACTCCAACCTTTACACAGTTACTCCAGCCACTCCAACCACACAACAGTTATTCAAGCCACTCCACCCAGTTACTCCGCCCACTCCAGTTGTAGACTACTGGTGGAGGCAAGAACACTTCACACAATTTCTCCAGAAATTGTAGCTTTTCTAGTTTGATTGCTATTATCTGTCCTATTGTGTTTTATACCCCACCTCCTATAGACTGTAAGCTCGTTTGAGCAGGGTCCTCTTCAACCTTTAATTCCTGTAGGTTTTGTTGTAATTGTCCTATTTATAGTTAAATCCTCCCTCTCATAATATTGTAAAGCGCTACGGAATCTGTTGGCACTATATAAATGGCAATAATAATAATAATAATACATATCTTCCAGTACTTTTGGAAGATATGATCAAGTGCATGATCAATATAGATAATCAGTTAAGGGAAAGGCATAGGACAAGAGTCAGACGTCCTGCTGTACCCATTACCCCTAGGGTTTCTGTTCCTTACGTCTCTTCAGCATAGGACTTTAAACCAATGCAATTTGGAGCTGCAAAACTGTCTGAGGCAGAGAAACATTATAGGCAAAAAGAGGGGCTCTGCGTACATTGCAGTAAGAAAGAGCATCTAAGACTTGATTGTCTGGTGCATCCGGAAAACTGTTGCAACTAAGGTCACCAACCTTGAGTGTGACATCTAAATCCCTTTTTTTGCCTCACAAGCGATTACTTTTCACCTTGTCTTGGGGAGAAAACATATAGACACTCTAGTGCTCATAGATTTTGGTGCTGCTGATAATTTCATAGACAGGAGTCTTGTCAAATCTCATTCAACCCCACTAAGAGAGAAGGAGGCCATAGATGGTACATGTAACGGATCACCTGGCACCCCGACTGGGTACCTCCGTTAAAGGATGCTCCTAGCCTTTCCTGAGGACTCCAAGCACTCTGGCAGACACCACAATCACCGAACCGGAGAAGCATATGAGTACTTTTAAGCATATGAATGTTGTATACAGCCGAATAGGAAAAACCATGCGAATAGGTTTACACTCCTGGCAGTCAGCATAAAATCCAATTCCCCCAATAATGAGACGACACTTCGTTTTGAGGGTTAAGCAGAATCTCAAGATTTATTCACACAACCTCCTTTTAAGACATTCTCCCATGCAAGGGAGGGATCCACAACAATTAGTACCCCAGCCAATAATGTATCAGTTATCTCCCACACATCTCCTCCCCTTAGTGTGACACATAATCCCATTAGTCCAGACACAAATTCCCTGGGTTACTGGATGTACCCCTAAACATAGGGTTACCCCTTTAAATGTTACATCCCCTGGTAGCCCTGATCTGGATGAGACACATATCCAAAAATCACACAGATCGGACCAGGGGTTCGGGAATTATGGAGGGTTAAAGTTTTGACCGACTGCATGGCAAAAGTATCTGAAAATAGTTCCATGTATTTTGGCCCTGCAGTCGGTCACAGAAAAGGGAAAGAAACACACAAATTGCCTGGGTTATAGAGCCTGGGGAGGGTTTAAATGAATTCCCTTGTTCGTGGGGTTCTTTCTACCGAACGGCGGGTTATTCGGTAGTTTCCACACGAATTCATGGTAGTCTGGAGGTCTCAGCGGTGTTTCCCTAGTCGAGTGTCCGATTTTAGTTCCAGACACTCGACGGCAAAACACCGCTGTTCGGGAGTTTAAGATGGCCGCCGCCACGTGTTCGTTTCCCGAATGGCGGCCACCCAGAGGACAAAGAACACATTACATAGATTGACAATTACCTGTTTGCAACATTGTTGCAAACAGTAATTGGAGGCACACTTACTCCAGGGTGGTCTGGTTGTTCGGTAGTTTCACCCAATATAATGAATGGAGTGATTCTACCGAACAATCAGGCGAATGCTGCATACACATAACACCGTTTACCGAACACATAATATTAAATACAGCCTGAATGCAATCTGCTACACAGTCTTAAAGGGCATTGTTCCTAACAGTCATAATATGTCCACGGATGGCCCTTAAAGGGGCAGTAGCAGCAATATAAAATACCACATGCCCAAATATTGCATTCAAAAGTACAAATTCACAAGGGGCCATAGTCAGCAGGTAGGAGGCGGGCAGCCTCTCCAATGTCCAGTGGCGAGGCAGCTTTCACCACAGTACACTTTTATATTATCCTTTGATTACTCATAAGACAGAACAGTTGTTGATGAGTTCAGGTTTGTTACAAAATGAGTGTTTGTGTTTTCAGGTGATCTCCTTACCTTCATCTCCTGTAGTGTTAGGTAATCCTTGGTTATTTGTGCACAACCCCACTATCGACTGGAGACAGGGACATATAATCTTACTGTCAATAGAGATGTTTAAACAAGGTCACACCATATCAATGTTCCTACCCTTCACCCTGTCTATGGATATGCCTACCCCTTACAGAGACCTTAAAGCAGTATTTTATAAGAGGGAAGCAGACAAATTGCCTCCTCACAAGTCTTATGATTGTTCCATGGATCTCCTGACAGCAACTATGCCACCCAAGGGTAAGGATTATCCTTTGTCTTCCAAGGAGAGTGTTATTGTGGAGGAATACATCAAAGAATCCTTGGAAAAGGGATTCATTTGTAGGTCTTCCTCTCCAGCAGCGGCTGGTTTCTTCTTTTGTTTCCAAGAAAGAAGTAGATCTTCGCCCTTGCATAGACTACATACAATTTAATAAAATCACTATCTAGAATTCATACCCTGCTCTTCTAATCACACAGCTACTTGATAGGTTAAAAGGAGCTTCTGTCTTTACTAAGTTCAATCTGAGGGGTGCATGAATGAAAAACTGCATTAAACACCAGAAGCGGACATTACAAATATACCATCATGCCCTTCAGTCTCTGTAATGCTCCTGCAGTTTTTCAGGATTTTATTATTGACGACCTCACAGAATTACATGAAATTGTATAACTGGATTACATTCACGTTTACTCTTCTGATCTAAGTACACATCATTCATTTGACAAAACTGTATGCTGGATTATCCAAGTTACTTTCCACGTGTTCGGTAAATAAAACTACTGAACACCCTCCTGGCTCATCACGTTCAAAAGAAACAACAGAATTAAGTGATCTCCCTGTGTTGCCGCTGTTCGTATAACCGAACAACACGTGCTAGAGAAAATTACATCTTGTTGCACGAAAGCAGGCAGCAGGACTTGGTCTGGAACTCTAAATCAGAAGTCCTGCGCGAACACCAGTCAAACTTCACAAATGTCTGCTTCGTTCCCCGACAAGCCAGGAAAGCGCTGTTAAGTAGGTGTGTTTGCACAAACAAGGCGAACAGACGCTACCTATCAACCGAAAATGACCGACCGCTACCACTAAAACTCTGGAACTGTTTTTAATATTTTATGTTTTTATGCATAGTCATTGTGACTAAGAAATACATTGGCATGTTGTGGGAATGTTATAGGCATGTATAACTGTAACCCTGATGTGTATAAAAGCAGGTCATCTGGCCAGAATAAATTATTCCTGTTGTACCCTTGATCAACTCTCAACTGATGTTTGGGTATGCGACTGACGAACCACTGGACTTACTTTTATGCACCTTGGATTTCGGGAAGGTACGAATCAGGGCTGCAGACGAACGGGCTATTATCACTGAGTCCCTAGACTTTCGGGAGCATACAATACAAACGAACTGGTATACGAAATACCAAGTGTTCCTAAAAATTCATATGGTGTCTTGCAAACACTTCTCAACAATGGCCTGTACTGTAAATTGGAGAAGTGTTTGTTTGACCAATCAGAACTTAATTTCTCGGGTTATGTTATCTCAGCCTCCAGGTTCAGTATGGACTCTAAGAAATTGTCTGCTGTAATGGAATGGCCACTACCTCAGGGACTGAAACCTATACAGAGGTTCATAGGGTTCAAAAACTACTACAGAAGGTTTATAAAAGATTTCTCTTCTGTCATAGCTCCTATGCAGAATCCCATTCCACCATGCACTAAAAAGGGATATTTTCACTATAAAAAGGGGGTATGGAGACCTCCTGGATGCTTACTCTGCCTTTCAGATGAAATTGGGGAACCCTAGGCATTGCCCAGACCCATCCTATGCATAAAAATGTGGTTAATGGCATTTACCGTCCTGACAGGAAAAGTTGTGCCAAGCAACATTACCATCCTGACAGGAAAAGTTGTGCCGAGCAGCAACCATGCACATGGAAACCTGGTCATTGCTTTTGGGGTCAAAGGCCAGTTATGGCCAATTGGATCCACAGGAGGGGTATTTAAGCCCAATTTTCCTTTTGTTCATTGCCCTGTCGTGGTTTTATCCTGATGGTAATCCGAGAGTGCGTTCCTGATCTTGATTTTCTGGCATTTGACTTTGGCTTCGTTTTGACTTCCCTGAATTCAGGTATCCTTGACTTTTGGCTTTCCCTCATTGTTGTTTCTGATTCTGTGTTCCTGACCTCGGCAAGTATTTTGACTATTCTTGGATACGTTATCCTTAGTCCTAGGTTCTGCGTGCTTGTAATCCTGACAGAGATACCCTGAAATTCTCTGGAACTGTTTGCCAGATTGGGACTGTGCTGTGACCTGGTGAATCTTTCTTCAGATATCTCTTGATCCACTGACCACCAATTACATTGCCAGCATGGACTCTCCAGTGAGAGCTATTCAGTGACATATAACATGTGTGGGTGCCGGCAATCCTGGGACCCCAGGATCCCCTTTATGTAGGACCAGGGAAAAGCAGCCACACACCTGGAACTCTAAGTCCGATAAGAGAATAGCCACAACCTGGTCAATCTTTAACATGCTATAACTAGGGCATGGATTCTCTGACAGGAAGAGAACTATACAATGATATATAATGATATATAAAGGGTTCTGTCCAGAAAAAGAGCCCAACCCCTCTGATGCAGACCTCAAGAGACAGATTGAGTGGCGGCTCCAACTCCGCCTGGCAGAGCAACGCCAGGTATGGGAGGAGGCCAGCAGACCACAGCAACTACCATTTGATGCATTTAAGACTTTCAACGAGACGGAAGATGATATTGATAGATACCTAAGAGACTTTGAGAGGCAGTGCTCTCTACACCATTTGGTTTCAGCATTTTGGGTCTCTAGTGTGATGGTACAATCCTTTACTCTGTCAAGCATTCACTTCTTCCCATAAAATAAAATAAAATCGCCAAGTAATCCACAGAGTAATAAATCGCTGATATCGCCGAATAATCCACACATGAGCCAAGGCTTAATGCTGGAACAAGTCTGATTTACGGAGAAACAAGGCACACAATTTATACAGTACATAACTCCTCCTCTGGGCCAGGCTAGATAATTGGGTTTGAGCACTTATCAAACTCAATTATCTAGTGGCCAGAAAAGTTAACATTTTTCACAATTATTAGAAACATACTTTATACATAACATATCAATGTATTATATCCATGGGTAGCTGAAGGTGACGTGAGCAACATATCCAAATTTCGTGAGAATCCATTCGGTAGTTTTGGAGTTATACCGTGTGGAAGTTTGACCGGCTCGCCACGAGGTTGTAGCGCCTCAGAGTTCCATGAAATCAGTGGTGCAAGTCGGTCTCCGTTCAGATGAAAATTACACAAAAACCCCCATAGATGTAATGTAGCTGGTTACATTAGAGTGCTCCCTTCATTCGGTAGAATGAAACTCCTGAACACCATTCATGTATAATTCATGGAAATGGGTCAGACAGGACTTCCATGGGGGACCGGGGATTGCTGGAGAACCATGCCGAAAATAGTTCCAGGCGCTCGGCGCCTAAGTCCCGCTGGCCGGCCGTTCGGGAGTTTAAGATGGCCGCCATCTATTGTTCTTGTCACGTGTTCGTGTCCCGAAATGGTGGCCACCCAGGAGCACTCAATTAGCTTGCGGTTTCATGTAATAACACAGGACTCTACGTTCTAATTGCTACCCAGGGTGGTTCTCGTTCGGTAAAACAGCTATTTTACTGAACAAGGGATTTTGATGAATTAAAGTACCGAACAAATAACAATAAAAAGTAGTGGATTCCACAAACAAAGTAGCAGGGAGGGAAATGCATGGAGGGTGATTCTTCACAACGGCCCCCCTTTTACTTCCTGCTCCGGCGGACGTGGCTGGACCTTTCCGGGTCCAGTAAGGTTGACGGGTCTCCCAGCCATTAGTCCAAGAGTAAGTCTGTATGGCGGGATAGTCCATCAGCATTCCCATTTTGTTTGCCCTGCTGATAGTGTATGGTGAAGTCGTAGGGTTGAAGGGCAAGACTCCACCGGAGCAAGCGGTTATTGTCACTAGAGACCCGGTTGAGCCAAAGTAGGGGATTGTGGTCTGTGATCAAGGTGAAGGCACGGCCCTACAGGTACGGAGTCAGTTTCTTGAGAGCCCAGACCAGGGCTAGGCACTCTTTTTCAATGGGCGAGTAGCTGACCTCCCTGGGCAGAAGTTTCAGGCTTAGGTAGGCGACCGGGTGCTCTCCTCCGTCTTCTCCAATCTGGCTCAAAACTGCCCCGAGTCCAAACATTGAAGTGTCTGTGTGGACGATTAAGCGTTTGTTAGGATCTGGGGCAGCGACAAGAGCTTGTTTTAAGGCTTGGAAAGCCATCTCACACTCCGAGGACCACAGGACTTGTCGGGTTAGCTTCTTTTTTGTCAAGTCAGTCAGGGGTTAGTCAGGGACAAAGCGCCTGTAGTAGCCGGCTGTTCCCAGGA